GTAAAGTTACCAGTGACCCACGTGAGGGGACAAAGTTCAGGTAATAAATTTGGATACTCCTGATATAAGTTTATTACTCCTGATATAAGTGTATTACTCCTGATATAAGTGTACTACTCCTGATATAAGTTTATTACTCCTGATATAAGTGTATTAATCCTGATATAAGTTTATTAAAACTTTTCAGAGAAAATGATGATTTGACAAATAAATTATTAATTTAAACAATTTAATCAAAATACTGAACTTTGAGGTAAGTAAAATCTATGTTTTACAATAAAAAGAATCTTCCATTGTTTCATGTGTAAACGAAATCAAGTTGCCACTAAAAAAAACGTATTTTATGTTATTTTACACATCTCGAGCCAGTAAAAACGTATTTTTGTTATTTTACACATCCCGAGCCAGTAAAAACGTATTTTATGTTATTTTGCACATCCCGAGCCAGTAAAAACGTATTTTGTGTTACTTTATACATCCCGAGCCAGTAAAAACGTATTTTATGTTATTTTACACATCCCGAGCCAGTAAAAACGTATTTTGTGTTATTTTGCACATCCCGAACCAGTAAAAACGTACCTTGTGTTATTTTGCACATCCCGAACCAGTGAGCATGGAAATGAACAAATTTTAATACCATTTTTATATTCAGAGCGAAAATGACAAGTTATCGAAATGACGCATGATTTTTAATTTGATTCGTAATTTATAATAAGGAGTTAGAACAGATGAAACGGTCAAACATGTAAATAAAAGAGAGAGAGAAGCCCCTCAACCCCAGCACTGATTGTAGAGAGAGAAGTCCCTCAACCCCAGCACTGATTGTAGAGAGAGAAGTCCCTCAACCCCAGCACTGATTGTAGAGAGAGAAGTCCCTCAACCCCAGCACTGATTGTAGAGAGAGAGAAGTCCCTCAACCCCAGCATTGATTATATAACTTTATTCACATAAGTACACACTTGTTTAATCACAGCTTGGCCTTTAAATTGGTATTACTTCACATTACTACTGACCGGATATGACTTACAGGAGTTACGTCATGACAAAGTCCACCTACTATCAACAACTAGAACTATTTATACTTCTGATACTATTCTAGTGTTGACGAATATAGTACCATTTGCCATGACAGGGTCAACACAATTTACGCCTTAATTACCTTGAATTATGTAGTTAGGGCTACAAGTCCAACGAAAAGAGGACGCACATTGCGGAGGGTTTAACAGCACGTTTAATTTGTTGGCAGAGAACAGAAACATCTAACATTATATGATTGAAACTCACTCTTAGCCTGATAAAGTTTATACCACGTGCACAGAAATTTATTACCTCATGCAGTATTATTAGTAATTTAACAATAAAGTTCAGACTAGCCTCAGGCAGAATACAGTTTTTACAGCATTTTTCAATCTTAATCATCCCCATTTTCTCTCTTCCCCTCTGTACATCACTTCATACATTACAGCCCCATTCTTTCTTCCCCTTCTGTACATCACTTCATACATTACAGCCCCATTCTTTCTTCCCCTTCTGTACATCACTTCATACATTACAGCCCCATTCTTTCTTCCCCTTCTGTACATCACTTCATACATTACAGCCCCATTCTTTCTTCCCCTTCTGTACATCTCTTCTTATACAACAGCCTGTCCTGGCCGTTAAGCCTACGTTCATGTAAAGTGTCTTCAGGTTGGAAATTCCGATTTATGTTAAGCCTACGTTCATGTAAAGTGTCTTCAGGCTGGAAATTCCGATTTATGTTAAGCCTACGTTCATGTAAAGTGTCTTCAGGTTGGAGGTTCCGATTTATGTTAAGCCTACGTTCATGTAAAGTGTCTTCAGGTTGGAGATTCCGATTTATGTTAAGCCTACGTTCATGTAAAGTGTCTTCAGGTTGGAGATTCCGATTTATGTTAAGCCTACGTTCATGTAAAGTGTCTTCAGGCTGGAAATTCCGATTTATGTTACTCCCTTTACTGTTTTGTCTGACAAAAAGTTAGTACAAGTTCTAGCGATAGTACATAGTTGGTAATATAATATGGATTTAAGATAACTTATAATACATTCTGGATCAAAATAAGTTTAAAATATACTCTGGATTTAACATAAGTTAATAATATGTTCTGGGTTAAGCATAAGTTAATAATACGCTGTGGATTTAAAATAAGTTAATAATATGCTCTTGGTTAAGCATAAGTTAATAATACGTTGTGGATTTAAAATAAGTTTATAATACATTCTCGACTTAAAATAAGTATAATACGTTCTCGATTTAACATATATATAAATAATATGCTTGCATGTGTCTGTCTGGAACTTTTCTCGCAAATTCCGCGATTAAACGCTACAAATCTAGTATCGTTAGAAAGGATTTTGTCAGAGGAGTCAGGATTGGTTATTGACTTTCCCATTCATTATCATCTTACCTTTTTTTGCTTAGGCAAACTGTTAATGGAACGAGTATGGTACAGGATGGCACAATGCTGTCATCACGTTAGGACTGGCTTTGATTTCAACTTTAGTTTTTTCTTTACAAAGTATTTCACACAAACAACACTTAACCCACGTGTAATTTCCTAAAACAATGAACATTACATTAAATACAATTCCTATTGGCTTTCTCGACTTATTTATGTATAAAATACGCCTACGCAGTTTGTCCAAAACCATGTGTTTATTACTTTGTGAACTCGCATTCAGACGTTTCTGCATATTCAGCTAAGTTTGCCTTCATTACAACTTTACATTTACTTTACTTTGTAATAATTTAGCTTCGGTTCGTTTCATAGACTGTATAAAAAACCTTTTAGCTACTTTTTTATTTACTACGG